TTAATGTCGTATATATCAGAAAGCATTGGTCCAAGATTTTTGCTGCAACTTTCTACAAGGTGAACTATAGGGTGTACTTGGTTTTTCACAGGAGTGCATGGAATCCTGTAAAAACTTTTTTCATCATCATTATCATTTTATGACTTCTAATCTTCACTTGATAATTTATAGTCACTGTGTCCATGCTCTAATTGTGACTATAAGTGCCTAAATAACTGGAAATTATAGGCAAGGCGAAGCTTCTTAACTTTTGTAAAAAAAAAAAAAAAAAACTAACAAAAAACAAAATAAGATTGTATTCAAGGTACACAAAGTAAAAAAAAACCTCATTAAAGTCATTGTTATCAGTGTAGTGTGGGTTGTGTAACCCTAACTGAGCTTCCAGCTACTCAAAGAAGCTTTAGCAAGTCCCTCATTGGAACTATGACCTTTTTTATATAATGGAAAATAAAACATCAGAAAAATTTCATTTTTCTAATATCACATAATTATCTTTGACAAAATCTCAAGCTATTGTGATATAAATTTAAAAATTGTCACACATCTGTTATTATTCTTATCCCAACCAACCTACAAAATGTTCGAGCATAAAGCCCCAATGTCTTCTAAAAGATTTAAAAGATTTATGAAAGATTTATCTTCATCACACATTCATTGATATCACTTTGATCCCATGGGCATTGATGTAGGTGAGGAGGACCTTTGCTCGCCTCTCGATAACATCAATTAGCTTGTCAATGCCCTGACGACCCCCTTGGCTTTCCCAGTATGTCTTGTCAAGGAACAGAGATTGGAGAAGCTTTTCCCTCAGTTTTCTGGTTTTCAGCACAGACACAGCTTGCTCTGGAAACCTAGAAAGGCATAAGAGGAAACAGGAGGAAGTGTAGTCACACTGTAATACTGTGCAGATTCTATACATTAAACATCCATTCGCTTCCGCTTTTCCTTTTCAGGGTCGCGGGGGGTGCTGGTGCCTATCCCAGCTGTCATAGGGCAACCTGCATGTGTGCGAATAAAGGGTACACCCTGGACAGGTCGGCAGTCTGTCGCAGGGCCAACACAGAGACAGACAACCATTCACACTCACATTCACTCCCGCATTCACACCTATGGGCAATTTAGATTTTTTAATTAACCTATCCACACAAAGTGCATGTGTTTGGACGGTGGGAGGAAGCCGGAGTACCCGGGGAGAACCCACGCAAACATGGGGAGAACATGCAAACTCTAACCATGTAGCTATTTATATGTTATTTCTAAGCCCAAAACTCCCCAACAAGTTTCATCACATCTGACTTTCATTTTTGCAGAATGGAATTAGGTGCAAATAGGCATGTCCAAAATGTAATTCTTCATAGATATGGTAAACATAGGTGGTGACATTGTGATTTAGCTAAGCAGTTCCTGCAGTTCCTCTGGTCTGAAGATGCCAATGATAACAGAATGTTTCACTAAAGTCGACAATTAAATAAATTTGTGGAAGTGCCAAACCCATAAAAAATAATTAAGAGATGGCTGTATTTTATACCAAGTGGTTATGACAGGTTGTCTTTGTACATCAGCAACCTTGAAGTCTGAAATGTTTTTGCTTTTTTCCTTCTTGGCAGTAAAAACTGCATTTATACAATCACATAACTGGAGGTTTGTGTAACTAAAACATCACTTGAATCAAATGACGGGTTACTCTTACTTTTAGCGCATGGATGGGATTTTTTTTTTGACATTTTAATAGCTTTTGAGTGGGTAAAAGCTCCCTTCATACAAATGAAATGAAAAGTGAGAACCGTATATCATGTGAAGCAATTAGTTCCAGCAGTCAGGATTGGAGGGTTTTGTTGTTTTTTGTTTTGATTTTGATGGACCACTACGTATAAGTAAATTCCATCTCATGTGATTTCAACAACAAAACAAAGCATGTCCTATTCTGTACGAGATGACTGTGAATGAACAATGCTAAAAGTTAAAGTGGTGCTCTTACTTAGAGATAGTGTTTTGTGATTTGACTTTAAGGTGCAGTTTTTGCCTGTCTAGAAACAAGATCCACCAGAGCCATGAACAGGCTGCTGTTTATTAAATGAGTTTAGATTTTTACGCATTTATATTTTTCAGATAAACTTTGTATTATTACTGCTCAGAATTCGCTTAGAATAAAATGTCAAACATTGGTCATTTTGGCTTTGAGAAAAGTCAGCGAGATAACACCTCTTCTGATCTACGTGAAATTAAAGATCAAGTTCAAGTTCAAGTTCAAATTTTATTCGCCACATGCAGGTTGCCCTGCAGTGGAATGAACCCGCCCCCGACCTTACACACACAACGCAGACATCACATGGGGATACAAGTCAGAGAACGGTTGCATTACAGAAAACCACTGAAATGTACACTACAATGGGAAAAATAGATATTTATTGTATCCTATGATCTTTAATCGTCTTTTATTTAGAATTTAGCTTTTATGGCTTTATCTTACTTGAATGCCAGAATGGAAGGTACATTTTGCTGATGAAAACAAGGATTCACATTATGTGTCACATTCACAAACGTGTCCTTGCCCTACCACAGATTCTCTACTGTCTCCTTAGCGAGTCCCTGATTTATTGATCAAAAGGATGGATGAAATGAAAGGGATGCCTATGGAGTGTACGTTTACAAATCCACATAGACCTGTGGTGCATAAAGCGATGTGTTCTCATCATGGGACGTGTAATAATGCAGAAGATGTCTTTTGGCATGTGTTTCTTCACAAACTGCACATTCGACCTGCAAACTACCATTTTAATTTTTTTTTAACATTTAAAGTATTGTAACATTCTAAGTTAGAATTGAAAATTTTAAATCATAAAGTACACTTTTAACTTTAAAGTTTAAAAATTCACAACCTGCAGTCACTGATTTGTGTGTGGGTTGGCCAATTACTGTGAACCAAATTCAGAGTTTCCGAGCAGATTTGGCATAGATCCCAGATGGAGATTTAAATATGCTTGTTGAGTGTGCTGGAAATTTTCAAATATGTTGTCAAGGGCGGAAATGAGAAAAACAGCTGCTGAAAGCAGCTAAATCCAGACTGTCCATAGATGTTCCTACTCTGTGTGGACATTTTTTTATCTCAAAAAATAAGTACCAATACACAACTCAGGGTCATTGTTTTGAATGTTGTTTTGAATGTTGTGAAGATTTTTTTTTTTTACAAATGTAGAAGACTGTCTGACAAATTATTACTTTTAAACAAGTTGATCTACATGTAAACAGCAAACTGGATTTACACAATTACTTGTTGCTTGCACAGTTTTCAGTGTGTAATCGTTTTAAAGACATTGAAGCTCAAACAACACTTGTAGTATAAACAGCAGCTTTATCACTCGAAGGACATGTTTCAGCCTCTGGCCTTTATTAGAGTCTTTTTCTGATATATAATTATTTGTAAACATCTGATTGAAATTAATTTGATCTACAGCTCATAATAAACAAATCATATAATCTATTTCATTAAGGGGTTTAAAGCTGTATTTTAGGCTAGGAATATATAGTAGTAGGAATATATAATGTTTTTTTTAAACATTATATATTTAAACAGGTTAATTAATTATTAATTCATGTTAATGCTCCAAACTTACTCTTTGATTCCCGCCAACAGCCTGAAGTCCAAGTTGTCCTCATTACGGTCAAAGAATCCCTTGTTGTTGGTGAAGACCAGGTGTCTGGGGCTGTGGCTCCTGTAGATGATGTTTTCTAGCTGTATGTGGTTAGCATCTTGACATTTAGCATGGTAACCCAGTTCAATGCACACATCCTGCTGCCGGGGCCTGAACCCACAGCAACCCTGGTCCAGGCGGTTGTTAATCTAAAAATACAGTTCACACATTTCTTCATTAAATGCTTGGAGATGATGTTTTGAGACTAAGAGTGCAGTTCAGAGTGGCATTCACAGAGTTTTCTTATTCAATGGGTTTTCTTTTGCGTTTTTATATTTTTAAAGACAAAGGTAAGCACAGTTTTACTCTGAATGGGCTTACTTTGCATTTTTGATGATCTCTCTTTATCATGATTTAAATAATAATTTCATGAATAGATAACATTCAGCTGGCAGTGAAAGCATACAAACCTAGAGGGCTGGCAATTGCACTGACTCTATTGTACCACTAGTTTACTGGACATCAACATCAACTAGTCATGTAGACTGCTGAGTCACATGACTGCACAGGAAACTCACTTAAGTATATCAGGCTTCTCCACAGGGAATGACAACCCTATATTTAGCTACAGGCCTCATCCATTCTTAATCCTTTATGTGAAATCATTTGAGTTGTGGAGGCTTCAGACAGTGCTGTCAGAGTAAGACAAGCTGAAATGTCACACATAGATTTAGATGGGACTAAGTGCTGCTCACAGGCGTGGTTTTCTAAG